AAGAGTCAACTAAAATTCTCATAAATCTTAAGAGTCTGATTAGATTAATTCACTTGATTGAACAGCTGCGGGGGAATAATCATGAAAAATGACAAGGAAAAAAATGCACGATAGATATATATATATATATGGTATATATTGTTATAGATTCATTCTATTGTTCTACCCTCGTAACGAATATCGACAACAATAACTTATGAAAAAAAAGAAGAAAAGTTGTAAAAACTTTTTTTTTCTTTTATGAGGAAGCTTATATATCTTTATATAATATTTGAGGTCAAAAGAACTGACAGCAATATTTGTAAATATGTATATAAAAAGTTACATTCTCATTTGCTTAAAGCGTTGTTTTTATATTTTTCTTTTCAATAAACATTATTAAATACATGTATTTTAATTTTATTGTTGTCATATTCATTTGCAATAAATAAAAAATTACTTATATATATATATATATACAGATTTAGAAAAAAACTATCATAAAAAGAAAATTATTACAAGAAAATAATTTAAAAATATATTTAATGATAAAAATCCTACATTACCGACTAATGGTACATTGCCATTTTTAGTCGGTAAAACAGAGAACTACATTACCGATTAATGATACATTGCACTGCACCTTAAACAAATGACTGTATTAACAATAGACGACAAAATACCATTAGATAATCATTGCTGTTGGTAAAACAGAAACCTTTTTTACCGACTAATTTCTCATTGTCAAATTGTAGAGTCGGTAAAGTAGGAATTTTAAACTTATTGTAATGCCGTTATTAAAGCTGAAAATTACTGTACCAATGTATAAGTAAATAATATAATAATTTAATAATTGGCACTGTAAAAAGAAGGTACTAAAATAGTACCGATTTTAGGTATTAAAATAGAACCAAAAAAGGCAATTTAGTACCTAAAGTCGGTATTAAATTAATACCTTTCGTTTTACAGTGTGGAACTGTTGGTAAAATAGAAAGTTACATTACCGACTGATGGTAATTTTTTGGTATTAATTTGTCAGTAAAGAAAGAAATTGTTTCGAAAATAAAATTATTAAAATATAGGGTCACTTGGGGTAAATGGGGACAAAATCGCTATTTGTAAATTAAGCTCCAAAACCTCTTGTCCCCATTTACCCCAACTGACCCTATCATATATTTTAATAATATATTTATTTTACAATTTAATTGTGCTAAGTAAATTTTCATCTATAATTCAAGTAAAACTTTTTTCCTGTATATATTTTAACACATTAATATGAGACACACATACTGACAAGAACATCACTTTAGATAAAATCGCGCACTATTTTAAACATGTTCACGTGAGAGATTATTTTTTATGATAATAATAATAATAATAATAATAATAATAATAATAATAATAATACTAAAAATAATAATCATAATCATACCAATAATAATAATAATAATAATGTTCTAAAGTAGAGAGACGATATCGACGACAAGAACTAACTACTGATTACATAGTGTTCACTGTTCGGCTTTAATTTTACATCCGTCTCGAACATTCTACTAAATTATGCTTTTGCTTCAGTAATTTACGATCACTATCAATTATCGATTGAAATTGCCTATATATATATATATATATATATATATATATATATATATCAATACCAAATTAGAAGTTGAGATTCGATTTGTAATTTTAATTACCATCCGACTTGTTTTACAATTAATAATAACCTACAATCCAAAGATTAAAAATCTTATAACCTGAATTTTAATTATTTAATTTTTTTTACACTCAGTTATAATTAATATAATATAATAAAAATAATTAATTTAATTTTTATTATTTATTTTTTAAAAATAATAAAGATTGAAAAAAATATAATTTTTTGTTTAAATTACAATAGATAACAAAATATTTTGATAATTAATGTTTATTAATAAAGGTTATTTAATGTAAATAAAAAAAAATCGCGGCAAATAATTAATCTAAATATATATAGAGAAGTGTAAGCGCAAAGTAATGGATTTGTGCTTGCATGAGGACTCCTTCGTAGGACGTGTTTACGTTGATGACGTGCTCTCATTAACGTCATTTTACTCGCAAGCTCGATTAATTTATTATTATCATGCCCACTGAATTCAACCACATTCAACATATGCAAATGGAATATTAATGATACCCTCGAGATAACTAAGACTTTGTTGCTTTACTCTCACTGCCATTAAACTAATAGGGAAAAATGAAAAATTTCTTTTCATTCTTTCTTGTTTTAAATTAAAATCTAATAATTTTTAGATTCAGTTAAAAAAATTATTTTTGTACTAATATTCGAATCGAATTCGTTAAAATAAGTAAAGGTTTCTGTTTTACCGACTGATGGTTATTGTTGGTAAAACAGAAATCTTTTATAGCAACCGTCTGACAAGAAAAGTGATAAGATTCTATATTTATTGGATTGCAGTTACCTGCATTACCGACTGATGGTAACTTACCATCAGTCGGTAACTTAGTTTTAATGTACATTATCAATAAATCTAGAAAATTTATTTATTTTAACGATAGTACTATCAACAATTCTAGATAGCTACTTTTATAATTTAGTAATTAAAAAAAATATTATTTGTGAGATCGTCCCTTGACAATAAAAAAAAAAATAAAATAAATGAGAGAAAAAGCAGTTGAAGCATCATTTAAATATTTAACATTGAATGAAGAAGAATGTCTCAAGGATAGCAAAAATTCTTCCGGCGATATAATGCAATACTTCCGTTTGACGCTAAAGTTACTTTTATGTTCTCTTCCTCAGAGACCTTTTTAGCTTTAGTGAGAAAAAGAGCTTGAGGCGAAAAATCTTTTGACACTTCAAACGAAACTTTATATACGTGTGTGAGATGGCTGAAATGTCACGTGTATCCTCTCTAGTGTTAAGCCACCATTTTTTTACCCTGAAACACCACTAGTATCATGATAAAATATTTCTGCGTTAAATTTAAGGTTTACTTTTGCCTCCCTCATATTATTTACAATGCTTTGTAAGCATGATTTATGATATTAGAGGTATTCGATGTTTTTTATCGACTGATGGTATGTTAGGAATCTATATTACCGACTGTCGGTACTTAATGGAAACTGTTTAACCGACTAACGGTATATTTATATTTTACAGTAATTTATTTATAATAATAGTGTAAAAGTTTTAAATGTTACCGACTAATGGTTATAATGTACTGTCAGTCGGTATTGTAGATTTCTATCGATTTAATTACTTATAAATGAATTATTGGAATATTTAACACTGACGGTGTATTTGGACATTAAGGGATGCTGGAAAATTTGAAATATAAATTACCGACTGATGGTTATAATGTACCATTAGTCGGTAATGTAGATTTCTATCATTCTTATTTACCCTTTTAAATTTTATTTAACACTGACGGTGTATTTGGACTTTTCATTAAGGAATGCTAGAAAGTTTGAAATCTAAATTACCGACTAATGGTACATTATTACAATCAGTCGTCGGTATTGTAGCTTTCTATCTTTATTTACTTTTTTAAATAATTATTTGGAAATAGTTAACGTATATTTTTTATAATTGTGTAAAATGTATGTAAAAACTAATTTTTCTAACTTCTCCTAATGGTTTATCGAGTTTATAAAAAAAAATTTTTTTCTTCCGAATAAAAAATATTTAGTGCCGAAAAAAAATGTCAAGTGAAGTACAACTCTTGTGTAATGATGTATGGATGTTAAGTGGTTAGTGGATGAAGAGCTTGAATAAAAAAAAAAAACAAAAATTTATGAATATAATATAGTCGAAACGAAATTGTAAATATTTACTAGGTTGAGATTTATTTTTTTCATGAATTCAGTATAAAAATACCGATGTGAGATTTGCATTCTTTTCAAACAAGTACCAAGATATAACTTTTGAATAAATCATTTTTATGATGCTTTTGCTTTAGAGGAATAATGTCACTCTTTCATATAGTTAAAGTTTAAAAACAAAATATGATACTTGATATGTAAGAAAAGGTTTTTTTAAAACAAAACATAAAATTTTTATTACCATTTTATATTTTTATTTATTTTTGCAAAAGAAAATAATTTATTTTATTTGTTTGGAAAATTTTAATTAAATTAAAATTAATACGTAATTTATAATAATAATTTTTTTGTTTATGTGAATTTTCAAAGAAAATTAAATTCTTATTTAAATAATTATATTAAACAACTATGAGAATTAAAAAAGTTGAGAGAGAGAGAGAGAGAGAGAGAGAGAGAGAGAGAGAGAGAGAGAGAGAGAGAGAGAGAGAGAGAGAGAGAGAGAGAGAGAGAGAGAGAGAGAGAGAGTCTAGTATGTAAAGTCAAAAGCTCAAAAGCATTTTGTAATGTTTGAACTTTGAAATTACATATACCAAAATGAGTCCCTGAAGAACTTTTGGAGAAACATTTAATAATGAAATGTGAAAAGGCCTCCGAGATTCTCCCACGAGGGGATAAAAGCTTTATAAGTGAAACGTCTAGATACACATTTGCCATCACAAAGCAAAGTGTATGTCAATATTTACTGTATATAGATATATATATGCTCACGTTAAAAAAGGGGTACAGCAACTAGAATCCATGAAACATTTGTGTGTGTGTGTCTGTGTCATGACTTTTCCGGAAACTCAATTTAATCCTCGTCTATTTTTCATGGTCTCCGGTTACAAAATGTAGAGGAATTTAATAGCTCGACATTTAATAGTTATTCCTCCCACTTTTTTTTTTTTTACATAAATAACAATGTTTTTTTTTGAAAAAAAAAATATAATTTATATTTAAAAAAAAAAAATAAATTTTTTACTAGGACTCATAAAAATTGTGACAAAAAATAATTGATTAAAAATTTTTCCGAATAGTAACGATTAAAATATTGAAATGATGAAACATTTTGTAATTTGTAGATTTAAAAAAATTCAAAATGGCGGATTCAATATGGCAACTAATATAATAATTATCGTTTTTCTTTTTACTTTCAGGAAAATTATATCGTTGACAATTATTGAAGAGGATTCGTACGAGAAGGACGCTCTTTTATATGTTGAACTTGAATCACCCATGCTGCAAGGAGGCAAGTTTTTTTACTATAAATTAATTCACATCTGCTATTTTTTTCACCAGTGAAAAATATTTTCAATTTTATTATATTGAAACATTTCTCAAAACTAAATTAAATATCAAATTTATATTAAATTTTATATATTCTATATTTATTTAATATTACATATATATCGTAACTGTAGCGTAAAAAATTACTGCTATTATTGCGCTGCTTTTGTAAAAAAAAAAAGTTAAATTTTTCCATTTCATTAATTCATTGTAGATATTACATAAAATTTAAATTAAAAAAATGTTAAAAAATTTTTCAAATCATTTTTCCATTTCATTAATTCATTGTAAATATTACATAAACGAGAAAAATTACATAAATGTATTTTTTAGAAAAAAAATTTTTTTTTATTTACTTTCTGCAAGTGAAGTAAAACGTTGATTGTTTTTTTCTCTATTTTTTTTTTGAGAAAATTATTGAACCAGATAATTTCAAGAAAATGGAGCGTTTCTGCGATGTAGAAAACGCGCTTGGGAATTGAATTTCCGTGATCTGAATCTTGGTACCAAATGTGTTCTATAAGAAAAGAGAGAGAGGAGAATATTCTCTTTCTCTATCCGCGAAGGATATCGAAAAATACAACTTTCTTCATTTTCTTTAATTTCCGTCCAATGAGAAAAAAAAAACTGAACTTAAAGATTAAGACGTCTTTTTTCTCATCTCTAAATGAAAAGTAAATTGTTCTTTTCTATATAAATATCCGGATTTAAAGAAAGAATTTCTTTTTTTTGTACTGAAAAATAAAAATCATAAAATTATTTTTTTTTTATTTTTTCATACTTTTAAAAAATATATCGAAAAACAAATATGGAATTTAAATCAAATTTTTATTAATAAAAAAAAACAATAATTTTACTTCCTTTTGCAAATATGATTACAAAAATATTACTATTTACAATATTTAATTAAAAAAATTTCTTTGAACGTTTAATTTTGAAATTTCATAAAATGTAAAAATTTAATAATAAAAAAAAAAATATTCAATAATATTTGATATTTAAATTTTCGCTCACTGGTACCAACGTCTGGATGTTACTTACGATTTACAATCATCCGTAAGTTTTAGTAGATTTCTGTTCTCGAGAATTTTTCATAGAAAATTTTGCAATATTAAAAGTGTGTAATTCACGTTTTTTTTTTTTTGTTTAAATATTAAAATTGCTTTTTTTATTTCGTTGAATCACAGAAAAAAAAATTTTGTAAGTTTTCATTTTAATAAAAAAAAAAAATAGAAATCACGTGCGCAAAAATGCAATCATTCGCAAGTAAAGCAGTTTGTTTTTTTACAATAATTATAATTAGACCCTAATTTCTTTACCCACGCTAGAAATAACAAAAAAAGTATTTTAGAATTATTCATGTAAATTGCAAAAATAACTCAACAGCAGCACAAAAAATTGCACTAAAATTAATTACTACAATTATTATATAATTATATTTATTATTTTATTTTATAAAAAAAAAAATTAATTCGAAAATTTATTTTAACTATAAATAACATTTACTATGATAATAATAATAATTTCAAAAAAATAATTATCCTTTTTGGAAAAATAATAACAAAGTATCCTGCTTTTGAAAATAATTATCATTTTTCTTAATAATAATAATAATAATAATAATAATAATAATAATAATAATAATAATAATAATAATAATAAATTATAATTAAAATCCTTTTTTTTAAATATTAAAAACAAGATTGTATAGAAATTGTATTATTAAAACAGAATTTACAAGTAATTTCCCTTTTAATCCTTTTTAATTAAAGTTTTATGCTTTCGCATTTGCACAAAATTTGAGATGAGTAAAAAGTAAACAGCAGTAGAATCTTTGTAAAAATAATAACGCTTATCTTGGAAATAGGATGATGTATCTATATGTATATAGTAAAGTTTGTGTGAATTTAAATTTTACGCAGACGCGAAACGAGCGTGAAAATAAATTGCACGTAAAAAAAATGTTACATTATAGAAGTTTATCTTTTTTTTATAGCCGATTCAACTCAATAGATAAAAGCCTATAAATTTTCAACTGAAAAATATATCACTATTTTCTGATTATTATTTTCAGGGGAAAAATTTTTTTTTTTTTTTTTGTAAAATAACCTAAAATAACCCCCATCATAACCTCAATTTTAAAATTGCATTAAAATAATTTAAATTTCTTTTAATTTATCCAGAATTTAAATTTTTTTTAAATTTGATACAAAACTCGTAATTAGCGATCCCGAAAAACTCTCAAATAATAAATTTTATTTGACTTTGGTAAAAACTTTTAAAAAATTCCACCATATTGGATCCGCCATTTTGAAATCTGGCTTCAAAATTGAATTTGATTAATTTAAAGAAAATCGTTCGCCATTTTGAAAAACTAAGATTAAATTCGAAATGCTGTTTGAAACAACATAAACCTACGTATGTCTATGTTTACTTTTCGAGAGAGAGAGTATGAGCGAATCAACAGCCATTTCTGTTAATTTATTGACGCTACATTGACCATTTAAAGCCCCGTTAGAAACCACAAACTTTATACGAGATACCAAGTTTCATTGACGACTAGACGTTAATAATTTTCAGATAAATTGATTATTCACTTACCCTAACGAGCGTCCCTTGATGTTTCCGCAAACTGTTGCTGCTCTCTCAGTCTTAAATCCTAAAACAAACATGAAAAATCAATATATAAATAATATACCTACATAATCAAATATAATAAAAAAAAACATTTTTTATATTTTTATGATTTTTCATAAAAAATTTACCATTTTTTGAAAAGCCAAGGGACAATTAATATAAATAATAATAATATTAATTAATATTAATAAGGGATATTAATTATTAATTTGAAATTTGAAAAATTGTCACTATACACAACGCGGGGGTTTGCCGTTAAACTGACGCTGAACGCAAAGAAATTTTGAGCGAGCGAAAAAAAATTCCCCCACTCACAGTGGAAAGAAAGTGCGACAGCGAAAAAGTGGGGGAAATATTTCCCGCTACGCGTCTTCTATCCTTCTCGCTCTCACTGGCGCGATCCCTTCTCCTTCGCCAATTTAAGCGCCTAACTCCGCCTCCTCGTTTCTGATTGGCGCGCCTTTCACTCGCCAGAATCTATATAAGAAGTTTTCTTTGCATCCAGCGTTCAATTCCGCAACGCAGCTTGCTCTGCATAATTCTTACTACTTTTTCAAAATTCCTATTTGTAATTAAATATATATATAATTGTAAATAAAATATATTATTAAGGACAAATAATATTTCTAAAAAAAATAATAACAAGAATAATAATAATAATAATAATAGTGTATAATAACAGTAATAAAAATAGTAAAAATAATAAAGAGCGTATTAAAAAAAAAAAAATTTCCTATCTTATCGGTAATTAAGAAAAAAAAATAATAACCGAGTTGACGCAACAAAATTAATAAACAAAAAATGTATAATATACATTATATTCCGAGAAGCACAATATTTTTAAATGTCACACAACAATGTAATCACTTTCCGGTGATAGCATACGTTAAAATTATAGTAATAATTATAACAATTTCTACGAGAAATTTCCTGTTACATAATAATAATACATAGAAAAATATGTATTATTAAATACGACCATTATCTTTCATTCATGCAAATATATATATATATGTGTGTGTATTTTTTGTAATCTCACATATGTGCGTTTGGACGTAGCCAGCGCACACGTACAATTGACCTTGAAAACACCAATGAAGTCTTGTTTACATTCAAGGGCCATTGACTGTTTCATTCATGATAACGCAGTAGGCTTACAATATGTCCTATCTCCCTTCCTTTTTTTTCTGTATTTATTATCATCATAATATTACTTCATTTTTTTGATAAAGTTATTTATAAATATAATTTTTATCAATTTACTCCAAATTTGTTATCTACTTTTCAATTTTTTTTTTCAAAATTATTTTTAGAAGTTAATTTAAAACAATGTTAAAATTAATGTTAATTTAGTTATTTTACTAGATAATAATTTTACTAATAATAGTAATAATAATTTTAGATTATATATAATATAATATTGAGAGGAAAATTAGTCTTTCGGTAATATTCTTCTAAAAACGAGATAACTACTCTTTGAGATAAAAAATGTTATTCCTTCTTTACATAAAAATTAAGTTAAACATTTTCAGCATTTTCCTCTTCGATTAAGAGGATCCGTGTATTATTGTTAATATTATCGAAATTCTTTTACTCAGATAATTATCAACGTATTAATAACTTTTTTTGTACACGCTATCAATAATGAAATTTCCTCTAGATTTGAGAAGAAGGGTTACTGAAGGCAATGCCATCTTCAAATTTTCATTTTAAACAAATATTCTTGTATCAGATATCGTGAAACGTTATCAATCAAAAGAGAAAGTTTCCTCTCAACATGAGATTATTTTTTATACTTATCATTTTACATCGATTTTTATATACTATTTTAATGTTTCGTTTTCTACCACCAAACCCTCCCCCCCTAGCCCTCATTCTTTCTCGTCTTTGGTCACGTCTTGGTATAAATTCACGTTTGCCTTCTTCTTCTTCTCAATTTTTTTTTTTTTCTTTTAAAACTGTAAACTATGTCTGGAAGTTTTCTCGGGTTCAAGACGGCAATCTTGTTTTTCCCAGGGAAAAGCGAGTGGACTTTTCTGGAAATGTCTTCTTTTCATATCATGTGTCACGCGCCAACAAAGAGCAAAAACGAATGCGCGTTCCAAATCCTCTACTATATAGTATATATATGTATAATAAAACATTCTCGCCTTTTCATACACACATATATAAACAAGAACCGCAAATTTATGTGACAAAAAAAAAATTAATAATAATTATTAAAAGAAATAACCAATGAGAAATAATTAATTCAAATTCTTGTTAATTTGAGAGGATATTTTGTATCCTTTTTTTCTTTAAATGTAAACCATATGGAAAAATTGA